TCTTTCAATCTCCTTACTTCCTAAACACAAAACCGTTCCGACCCCTCTTTGCAAATCGTTCCGGTTGTCGTTTTGAGCTTCCAAAAATCCTAACAAGTCTAATTCCAATATTTGATTTCATACATTTATGAATGTTAGTATGTATGTGATATTAGGGCTGAGCAACGAAACCGAGAAAACCGAAAAATCGACACGAACCGAGTAAAACGGTTTAGTTCGGTTTGACCTTATATGGTTCAATTTTTGGGTTGGTTTAAAGTCTCAATTTTATTGATTCGGTTTGGTTCAGGTTTTCCATATGGAACTCATTTGTTCCATATTGAACCGAATATACAATTTTTTTTTTAAAAAAATTATAGTTTCAAGTGATTTTTTCATTGAAAAACTGATAAATCGAACCGAAAAAACCGGTTTTGGTTTTTTCGGTTTTTTAACCATTCAATTTCGGTTTGAATTTTGAAAAACCGTTTATTTCGGTTTGGTTTTTGTTCGGTTCACTCTTTGGTAAAAAACCGAACCGAATACACCCCTATGTGATATGACTATTATGCATGCATGAATACTTGAATATAATATAAATACATGAATACATGAATATATTCATAGATGTTATATGTTATTTGGTGTGATAATAATATAAATAGTTATATGATAACAATGTATAAATTATATGAATTAAGTCTAACTAATTAAAATTAAAAGTGAGAATATAATATAAGTTAAGAGATATTGTCTTAAATGAGTATACAAATGGGTCAAATAAGCTATATAGGAAAATTGATATGTTTAAGTGGAACTATGAACTAAACTTTTTAGATTCCTATGTGATATGAGTTAGAGTATAAAGGTTTAGGAAATCATATGAGAAGATTTTAGAAACTAAGTAATGATAATTTATGAGAATATATGTTTATGTAACAAGCTATGTGAAAATGAATTAAGGGAAAATAAGAAATTAATGTATAAGAGTATGATGTAGGGATCATGTGAAAATAGGATAAAAACTATATAACATTGATGTGTAGATTATATGAAAAGGAATAAATGATTGTGTAATAAATTATATGAATTTGTATAATGAAGTATATGGTCATAATTTAGGAAATAGAAATGATTTATGTGATAATCAGAAAACAATAATATAAACTATCTGGTGTAGATATAAAGGATTATATGAATATAAAGTAAAAGTTATGTGACTATGAGACTTTACCAGAATATTATATGATATACTTGATAAGAAATTAGGAGTTCATATGCTTATGTGATATGAACTATATGAGTACATGTATATGTGAATGAGTGATATGACTATGTGCATTTATGTCTATGAGAAGATATAAGAACAAGATACAAGTCATGTGATATGTGAATGTGAATTATATGGAAATGTCTTATATGCTTATATGAATATGTAAATATGAGATAAAATAAATTATAAATGCCCATGTTATGTGATATGATAGCTATATGTATAGTTGGCATGCCAAGCGTCGAGGGTCTATGCGGTCCTTCGGGACATATATGTATCCTTTGGAATATTTATGAGGTCCTTAGAGACGCATACTTGGTCCTCAGAATATGTATATGATTCTTAAAGAATTTCTATGTGGTCTTTATGGACATTTTATATGGCACTTCGGTGCATTTCTACGCGGCACTTCGGTGCATTTCTACGCGGCACTTCGGTGCAATTCTACGTGGCACTTCGTTGCATATATACGAGCTGTGGTAACAACATTTGTGCACAACCTCAATGTACTCACATACCTTAAGTTCTCAAAAGTATACATGGACTAATAAAGCAATAAAATAAATATATTGTACGTGATATGTGTATGTGTTACATGTTATGAGAAATAGATTACAGGAATTATATGATGATGTGTGTATTGTTGGTTAAAATGATAGATATAAGACAATATGACTAAAAGATATTAATGACAATAAAATATAAAAATGTTAAGAATGTAGAAGATCATATATGTGCATATGAGTATTTGTTATATGAAATAATGTATACTTAAATATGATATGATAGTATTACTTGTTTATGCATTGTTATAAGTTAGACTTTCCATTATATATTTTATATGTCTCACTAAGTCATCGACTTAGCGTGTGAGTGTTTCACACGTAGGTTCCGGAAAACGAGAAAAGAAGCGAAGATGAGCAAGACATGTCAGCATATCCTTTACGAAGTTCTTATCAGAATAGAAATGATTAATATGTATTTTGTTATTTTAAATATAATTGGCATGTACTAAGAAATTTGTATTGAATATGCTCTATAGGTTTTGTAAAACCAAATGTTTTTAATTAACACCATTTATGCAGTTCGATTTAAATGAGAAATTAAAATTCTTTAGCTATTTTATGAAAAGTAACAGTTTGAAAAGTCAATGTGACATCTCAGACTCGTATTCGGGTTGGATACGGGTTGGGGGTATTACATTTAATTAACAACGATAAAGTTAATAATGATGATCAAGAATTCAAGCTTTGGTTGACAACAATAAAGTCAATCAAGTAGGTGAAATTTGAATATTTCCCTTTAATTCTAAATGATTCGAAACCCTTTCTTCTACATTTCTTTAAATCTGAAACAGATAAGATATCATGAGAAAAATAAGATAGTGAACAAATTTGTTTCAGGATTTTTCCTGTCATCCTAATGGGTTTGCTAAAATCTCAAGTGGACAAATCTGTATATCAGAAATAGATGTAAAGTAACATTGGTTATTGTTTTTGTTTCGAAAATAAACAAGAATTAATTCTCTATTTATTGAACTCTTTGATTTCATATTTGAAATCAAATGGGATATTAATTATGTCACATAACAGAATTAGTTAATTTCTATTTATAATAGAAATTGTTCTAAAGTAAAAACTTTTTTACAAATTTATTTCAGGATTTTAGTTTATGACTAAATTCTGTTAATAAAATAAATCAAAATTTAATTTTGATTTATTGTTGAAATTATTAATTTCACGTAAAATGGATTAATAGGTAATCTTAGCGATTTACTTAATTCGTGATTTGGAACGTTGGTTCCTCTACTTAATTCGTGATTTGGAACATTGGTTCCTACTCAAACTCTGAGTTTAAATTCAAAGGTATTGATGGTTGTAAGCCGAAACGAGAATTCAAGATATGACAACATAAGATATTGTTTTATTTGGTCATGTTGTATTTGATCAAATATCGGATGATCCTCATATTATTAGAGAGAATGAGATAAACATTGTTACTAGATTTTAGAATTATTATGGAAATACATTTTGAATGTATTATCGAATATATAAGGTGTACAATATCCATAAAAAAAGACCATAGATACGAAATAGAAGACGCTGGTACTAATGAATTGTTAGTTACCAAGTTCTTCAAATTTGTAATAATGGAACAGAATAGGAAAAATAATTTTTTTATTACCTCCATTGATTATAGCAAATGTATTGCTACGTGTATTTGCTAAAAGAGCAAAACGAAGTAAAGCGGAAGAATTGAATAATGAATATAATGCAGAGAAGTTTTGAGTTGCCACAAAACAAGAGGGGGTAGATAAGTTATTATGTCAACTAATAACCTTTTAAAGGTTCCTAGAAAAAAAAAGGAAAAAAGGACAAAATACCATATGATTTATGAAAAGGTTGAAAATTGTGTCACACAAACACTTAAAAAATGTGGGGTGTCTTGAGAAAGTAATAATCATATTACCAAAACAGATAAAAATAAATCATAAATAATGAATTGCATTTTCTTTGACTATCCTATTATATTAGAAGGATGGATTGATACTAGTTAGAATTCGATATTCAAGATATCAACGACATACGTAAATATGTTTCACATTGGAAGGAGAAACTATATTATGAAAATCCTTAAGAAAACGGTCATAACCAGGTTGATAATGAAATATGAGTTTTTAGTTCTAGATAAGTCTAGAGAATAAATCGAATAGCTTTGGAATTTCTTGGAGGATATTCTTGAATGGCTAAAACATGTGCCCGTGGTATGCATATACTGTGACTAGCATAGAATTTCAAGTATAATGGTAAGTCGACATTTATACATCGTCAACATAATACCATAGACAATTGATCTCAAATTGAGTTATATTTTTCGATTTTGTAATATCAAAGGATAACATTATGGATCCACTAACCAAAAGGTTAAAATTGAGATCAAATTGAGAAAACATCTAAAGGAATGTGACTAAATCCCATGAAATTTAAGGGTTTTACGTGAAGGAAAACCCTACCTTGTTAACTGGAGATTTCAAGATCTAGGTTTAAAGGGACAATCTAATTGCATAAACTGTGTACAATCACTGTGGGGGTATCTTATCCCAAGTTCGTTCCTATGATATAAACAATGATCAAAGTGGTATAGACTAAGTAAAAACTTTTAATGACCATTGTGTGTTGCGATGAGTCGAGAAACATAAGTCACTTATGTGAGAGTAAAGTGGAGTATGTTCTAGAAAACTATTGGGCATAGTTCTTTCAAACTATTGCAGAACCATGTGGATATCCATGGTTTTAAGGATATACCCATGAGAACTAAATTATTGTCAGAGGGATAGTTGTGTGAAGTATGTCATCGTTTACACAAACGGTAGATCAATTCCAGGACATCGCATCTATTATTTAACCAATAAAGTAAATATACTTTCACAAGGGAATGTCCAAAGGAGGAAGTTTATCTATTTTATGCAACTATCGATTGTAGAGGTTATCACCACATTGAATATTTTTTTGTTGATAAAATCATCAATTTGATGTACGATACGAATCAATTCAAATTATTTAAGGTAAAATCTTAAGAACGGGAAAAGAAAAAAAAACAATTTAGAAAATCCTAATATTCTCAAACATATATTGTGCCGTAACAGCTACTTGTTTTATCCGAACAAGGATTATGAACATGTGTTTTAATTTCCTTCACAAACATGAATCCAACACCCACAACTGTCTTAAACATCTGTTCCTTTCCACTTGTAACCCTTTTCCATTCCTCGGAAGCCCCGTAACACACAGTCACACGTCCAAACCCTGGATCTTACAATGACTCAATCTTCGAGCCCTTCAAAGCTCTCCCTCTCTTCATCCTTCATCCCCAAACCCTTCCTCCACTTCCGCCCCAACTCCCCAGTTCCTACAAAACTCAATCGACCGCCCTATTTCAAGATCCTTTTCTCCGCTTCCCAACCGCCGCCGCCGCCTCCGCCTCTGCCGCCGAGCTCAATGCCCACCACTAGCGATGCTAAAACCCTGAACCTTATCTCCTTCATCGGTGCTATCCCGGACTGGGCCGATCGTATTCAAGAGCGTGGAATGCGACAAAACCGCGCTCTTTACGACCATGAAAAATGGGTTCATCACAGAAGTTCACAGCGTCACCTTCGACATTTACTTTCCAGTTTACAGTCGCGTGTAATCTTATCACTGGTTCCGCCTGTTTTAGCTTTTACTTCGGTTGCTGTTGTCGTTGCCACTTACAACACTGCCGTGGATTTGCACTGGTTGCCTGATTTTTTCCCAATGTTGAGAGCTTCTTCGTTGCCTTATCAGTTGACTGCGCCTGCATTGGCTTTGCTGCTGGTTTTTAGAACCGAAGCCTCGTATTCGAGGTATGAAGAGGGGAGGAAGGCGTGGACTAAGGTAATTGCAGGAACAAATGATTTGGCAAGACAGGTAATTGCTGGGGTCGATAATTCAGTTGATGATCAGCCCATCAAATCTGCTCTCTTGCACTATATAATGGCTTTTCCTGTTGCACTTAAGGTGTGAGCATGGATTAGAAATTGAACATTTGTATGAGCTATAAAGGAAATTACTGATTGGTTGATAATGACGTTTTTTTTTTGGCAGTGTCATGTTCTGTATGGATCGGATATTGGCAGGGATCTTCAGAATCTGATTGAAGTAGATGATTTAGCTGTGATACTGAACTCGAAGCATCGGCCTCGCTGCATAATTGACTTCATTTCTCAAAGCCTTAAATTGTTGAACTTAGAAGAAACAAAGAGAACTGCGCTGGTATCTTCCTTCTTCGACCATATGAACTTCAGATTTATTGGATCCATCTTTATCTTTGTTTGATTGCAGTAGTCTTATGATCTCATTTCATTTCAGGAGTCAACAATCTCATGTTTCCATGAAGGAATCGGTGTATGCGACCAACTCATGGGGGTTCCGATCCCTCTATCATACACTCGGTTGACGTCAAGGTTTTTGGTCCTATGGCATCTTACTCTTCCTATCATACTCTGGGATGATTGCCATTGGATTGTTGTTCCCGCTACTTTCATCAGTGCTGCTTCCTTGTTCTGCATAGAAGAAGTATGCATCTTTGTCCGGTGTTATCCTCTTGATATCGAAATTTCTTCTTCTGTTCCGATCTTTAAAAGTTTGTTTCATGTTGCAGGTTGGTGTTCTTATCGAGGAGCCATTCCCAATGTTACCCCTTGATGAGCTCTGCATCGTAGTGCAGAACAACATAAAAGAAACAATGGCAACAGAAAAGGATATTCAAGCGAGGGTAAAGGGAAAAAGAAAGAGGAATTCCTACAAACATTCACCTAATGGTTGCCCCAACCCCAACACACAGTGTTGTTAACAGGGATAATTGGAAAAGGTTGTGCTTACCGTGAAGGATTTTGTCGCATTAATTCAAGGCTAAATATCTTTGCCTTTTGCTACCTAGAATCTAGATGTACATAAGAGTATGGTTGAACCATGCGTAAAGAAACGATAATCATAGGATATCTGTGTATATTGTACACAATTTTCTGGTAAATACAAAATATATTGGCTTCTTACTGACTTCCTGTTTCTGGGAACCATTGAGAGCCGGCTTTGAATCCACATATGCCCTTTTTTCTGCAACTATTTCAGCTGTTTTCCACTGGTTTAATGGCTTTCCTTTGGGACTGAGTTTACGGTTGGAGGAGGAGCAGATGGCCTGATATCTTCCATTGTGATCGCAAAACTTCTTGAAACTTGAAAGGACCGAAAGTGTGATGCCCATTTGGCGTGTATTTCTAAAAGTGTTTTTAATTAGAGAAATATATTTTAACCGTAAAATTAATGTTAAATCGGTAAAAGTTAAAAAAAAATTATAGTAGAAATGATGGTCTCAAATAAATTACAAAAGTTAGGATTTGTAGTTTTTTTTTTAATTTTACATTTGAAAACGAAATATAATTTTACACTTGTTAATGTGTGGATTTACTCAATTATGTATTTATATTTTATTTTAATAATTTACTGTTAACATTCTTAAAAAATAATTTACCACCTCACAGATATTGACCATGAAAAATTACTGTCCCGTGTCCTTTTTCTGAGGATTGAGTCAATGAAATTTTCTGTATGGTTACCGAGAAAAATAACAGAAAGGAATGATGACTTCGATTCTGTTCTTTTTTAACCCGTCTTGATTTTCTGGCGGGTAAGAAGAGTTAAACTTCTAGACGACGTGGTTAACTTACTGTAATTCATTCGTTTAATGGATCAGGAAAGATACGACGTCCTCTCATATCGACCTAGATAGGGGTGTATACTAATTTGATTTATATTAAAATATGAATTAAATCGTACTTTATGAGTTTTTAAAAATAGAAACTAGAATTAAAATTGAATAATTTAAAAATCATGGTTTTTAGTTCAATTCATTTAGATTTATTTCAATTCAACAGTTTTTGACTAGTCATTATTTTTTAAATTTAACCTAAAAAACAAATTTAAAGTTTAAATTAAGTGTAAATATATAAGTTTAAATTTATAAAAAATATTATTAGTTTTAATATTTTATTTATTTAATTTTTTTTATAATAAATTGAAAATGAATGTGTTTTAAATATTTATTTTTTATTTTTTAATTCCATTCAAACCATTTTTATAAGAAACAGAAACCAAATCAAATTACCCATTAATCAAATTGTAAATTAAAAAAATCAAACCAAACTAAACCGAATAATTTGATTCAATTTTCAGTTTTCTCAGTTTTATCGCGCAGCCCCGACTTAGGTTGCTCACATTTTACAGTATGTCAATATCAAATCAAAACGCCTAGGAAATCTCTTCGACTACAGATTTATTTGCCGTTTAAGCTCGAGTTTTCAAATTTCAAAACCCTAATCTCCTCCCAAAAGTGAAAAAAAATCTTCAAATCTTCCCCTTTTTCTCCATTACTCCAAACAACAAACACAAATACCTCGAGACTGGCATTGACAATCGACGAGCTGAACCGGAGCTTGACTCCGAAGAAGACTTGGAGGAGCTGGAATCCGATGTGAATAAAATGGCGGAGAAGATTCTAGAATACAGATCCACTATCCCAGATCAACTCAAAGCCACTCTAGCTTCAGTTCTCTCTTCTCAAAGACCCAACTTTCCCTATGTCAGATCGGAGCCTGGATCATCCGGAGAGCTTAATCCAGGTAGGCCCGTAAACTTTTTAGGGTTCGTGGAATCAGGATTGACAGCTCTCTACTGATATATGACCTAAAGGTTTTGGTTTTCATAGATTCAGAGGAGACGAAGTTGGGGGTAAGATACAGCTGCTTAAAGAGAAAATCTCGAGTAACATTTCAGCAATGCCGGCGATTGTGAATCGAATGAAGGAGTGTATTTCCAGGATCGAGGAGCTAAATTCTAGCAATGGCGTCATACATCCTGCTTTTAAGAAGAGTGTTTCGTCAATGAAGGTATTATTCTTTTTTATACGGTTCATCAATGGTGATTGATTTTCATTAGTCTTTTTAATCCTTTTAGCTGTGTAACTAACTTGAAAGCATTGATTTCCTTGTCCGTATCGCAATGCCTTTGTTGATAATCAACAAAGGGAATGTATTGATATGCAAATTATTTTAGGCCTGTATTTTATGTTATCGTTTCTATTATTTCGACACCACGTATTTTGATACAAATTAAATAAGGTTGATTCGAAAAATAAAAGAATTTAAAGATGATTGAGCAAAATTATTGCATAGATTTTCTAATTAAGACCTTCACAAGTAAATAACACCTTGAGACGATGAAAAATTTTGGATTCGGGCGGCGGCATGCAATTTTTTTAATTTTTCCTTTTCTTTTCTTGCGGAGAGCCACTATGGATTATTTTAGTTAGAGAGAGAGAATGTAATGGAGTGTTTCAAGAATAATTGAAAGAGGAAAAAAATATAGACCCTATTTCAATAATGTATGGTGACATATACTTCCTTTTAGGGTTGGTGTGAAATATAAAATCATGATATTATTCATAAATAATCTTGTTATACTAATATGATTATTAGATAATATATTTAGTTTTGATAGATAACATGAATTGTTAGAGGTCATGTTGAAAGATTGATTGATAATCAAAGAATATAAGATTTCGGAGGTCAATCAGCGGAGTTACTCCGAAGACTTCGATAGCTAGAGGGGCAGCATCAAAGGTGTAGCTTACAAAGGAAGTACAAAACCTATCTCACATGATTGAGAGAAAATAATGTGTAACGAGGCAAGCAAAAATAGGAAAAACTACAAGATCTTCAAATCATGTATGGTAGAAGTCTCCCGATTGGACCTCACTATAACAAGTATAACATAAAGTGTCCCATCTACAACTACCCCACTAGCCCGGCACCATGTAAAATCACACAATGTCCAGATTTATGATGTGGTCGAAATATTTTAGGAGTTGGCGGTTTTCCCATACTTGAGAACCTCCTACAGGCTTATTGCTGTCGGAAAGAGCATTTACCTGAGGGGGTGTTTTTCCATGTCGAAGAGTCCTTAAGGCCAAAAGGTCATCAAATTTGACCAAAAAGGTTAATACATTATTAAATATTTTAATATTACACGGTCGTTCAAAGCTTCGAGACAGTTGAAGGCGTTGGGGGCCTAGCCATCCTAAGCAGTGCTTCTTGAGTCAATGACACAACAAGCTGCAAATCAAGATATAAGCATGCTGATTGGGTCTATGACAAAAGAAATTTGGTGGAACAAGGGAAGGAACAACAAGATAAAGAAAGGATAGACTAAATACCTCTCCTTTTCTGTTGAACATTTGGCCTGAAACAAAACCACGAGTGACACAGGCCGTAGGACTTGCAATCTGTGTGACATTGGTTCCATGAACAATTTTTTTTCATCAAGAAAGTGAAAACAAATTCAAACATAATTCATTCGTGAAAATAGACATCATCTTGAACCTACCACGAATAATAACCAGTCGTCAGCCCTAAATTGCCTATGGAACCACATCCTGGTAAACACAACCAAAAGAGTAAATAATGTCATATACGCATAAGTTTTCTAAATATAGAAGCAAGCAAGAGAAAATTAATTTTGAGTTGTGGAGTATGTGACCCACAGACGAAAGAATAGTCAATATTAGGTAGATTATAGCAGATGCTTACGAATGGTCCAGGCTAAGGGAAGCTGACTTAAAACCTCTTCTGCGGTGTGGGTTCAAACTAACACCACTAAACATCAGATCAGAAGCAAAAGCCACTACACATCTGCAAAACAGAAAATTAATAAAAAGATAAGAAAGCTTGATCTACACCCCAATCTATATATACAACTGTTGCCATAAGCTTATAATTCTCTGATAAGATGGGGAAATAGAGTGGATGTGGATGTGCACATGGCAATGGACAGAACAAACTGAAGTAAGCTTACATTATACGCAAAAAAAAGGTTCCGAGAATTTCATCAAGTCTTGAGCAGAGAAAAAGAAGGAAGGTGTATGTATAGACAAAGAGGTATTTAGCATTTAAAGGGATCACCGACCTATGCAAAGCTTGATCATCTGAAAGCTTTCCTTTGGCTCTAAACCAATACCTCAGACTGTAAAGCAAAAAATCATTCTCAAATAAGATATAGCACTGAACCTAAAATGATAATGTGGCAACTAAATTGGTTAATGCATATTCATATGTAACATTTGTATTTCCAAGTGAATTGGAAAAGCTAAGATTATGTAATGCCGAAAAATGCCTAACCTTGGTTCAGATTTAGTCTGGTTTGTATTAGTGTTAGGTTCACAAAACCTTATCTCTATGGGCCAAGGAACAAATTTTGTTGTGGCCACCTTTTTCCGGTAACTCCTGAAACAAAAGACTGAAGCATTGCACATAACAAAAATAAAAAAAAGCACACTATCCAAAGACAAATATAAGGCCACCGGATACTGTTGTTGCCTTTTTCCTGCACCAATTTTTTTGTTTTTTTTTTTGGGGGGGGGGGAAGGGGGGGATGTCGTAGTTTACAACAAAATAAAGAACCCAGTAAAAATATATAATAAAATAAGATAAGAAACAAATGTATTGAAATCATATTAAAGCTTTGAAACATGGAAATTTTACATATATAAATAAAATATGGTATTATTGTGAGTGCTAAAATTCTTACATAGGAAGACGGGGATCAGTGAGACGTGATTCTCGTATCTCATCCAATGACAGAAGCTACAATAGGTCAAAGAGTAATCCTGTTATCCAATTATTCACCACACCAAATGACGGGAAATGTCAACTTAAAGACTTAGCATAGTTACCCCATCTGGAGCTGGCACAGATGGCATCATTGCTTCTTGATGATCAAACCCTACTTCTTCTTTCTGTAAGATCAGTTCATGCATATATTACAACAGATCAGGAGGTTTCCTAGAACGATGAGACCCACATTCACCAACCAACTATTATAAAAGAAATATAATATGGAGAAAAAGACTTTTAGAAAAAATACTGTAGTACATATCATCATTATCAAACATCTACCTCTGCACCGAAAAAAGTAATATCTTCTCCGCATATTTTTTATAGATAAAATAATTGGTTTATTAACAAGTTAAAAAGGGAAAGTTCAACTCGTTTTCTAATGCGTTGGTAAAAGAACAGAGTAAGCAGCATTGGAACTTTCATAAAAGAACAGAAAAATCAATGTTGAACAGATCTACTTATCTTTAGCATTATTTAAAACCACCACTCACACTATTTTATCCCATTGATATTGACCTACAGATAGTATAACAAAAAGTGACTATTCCATGAAGGTGAAAAAGCAGATCATGATAGTTCTTCTCAGATACATAGCATAACAATTATACCTAACTGTCAATATTTGTTTAAGTCAAGCTCATACAGAAAAACTAAATGGTCAATAATTAAAGAATTAGGGAAATAGGTGGGAACCTTTGAATATAAAATGAGGAAGATACTTCATACCTGAAAGGATGCTAATATTGTGAATATGGTGTTTCCCTTTTGTATTGCATCTACTCTACGGGTAGCAAAATTTCTACCATCACGTAGACGATTAACTTGATATATTATAGGTACTGTAAAAAACATTTCGAAAAGGTATAAATATTTTCCACTGCAAAAATTTTCACTTGAACAACTAATTATAATCTCATGATGAATCAGTGATTTAACATGCAAAGTTCAATAAGCAAAAACAATGTAAAAGCTATTATCTATTTATGGTACTAGTTTTCTTGATATGATGGATGTTCAATAACTTTACTTATAGCTAGAACAGCATGATCAATGTCTTTAACCCCAACCATAACTTCTAAGGCAAATTCTTAAGCAACAGGGTCTAACTGATAACTTTTGGAAGCTAATAGTGAAACAAAATTGCTTATCCAGTTTACTGCAAGTTTTTTTCATTTTGAGAAATGAAAGTGGGTAATTCGTTTAATATTTGTTTGCATCTACTTGCACAATTTGGCACCTAATATTCGTTTCTCTCAGGTCATGAGTCATGGCATATCTTCTGCCTTCTTTACTCACATTATCCAACTTCAATTTAAAAAGTACAGGTGGCTAGGATATCCTTCCAAATGGAAGGAAGATTGAGAATGAAGAATGAAATTTATTAGCTTGTACATTTTCAGACTGTTAAAGTTGCAAAGATTAAAAATGCGGGATTATATTGTCATGCAAAAAATCTAGTTAAATTGTTAACATATCAACAGTACGAAGTTTCTAAAAGCCAAAAAAAGTATGATGGATCTATTTACTGCAATAATGCTCACAGATAAGGAACTTACTATTAAAATCCCCAACCATAAGAAAATAAGAGTGCAAACTATGGACAATTTTAAGAGAATCAACAGTTTTTGATGCAGCAGCCAGCGCCTGAATAATTGATGACCAAAAAGAAAAAGAAGGAAGCAGTTACCTCAGTTTAAACAGCATGATAATCAATATGAAAAAAATAAGACAACAACAACATCAAGCAAATTAACCACTTAATGTTTAAAAATAAGAAGCAAGCACCATGCTTACATATCATGAAACAAGTCAAGTTTCTTTATATTTTCTTTTTTTCTCTTTGTTTCTATGCAAAAAGTGTATGAACTCTGTATTAGAGAAATACCTACCTCTATATTTAAGTAGTTATATATCTACATAAATAAACTAATGAGCAAGAGCATAATATATTTACCATTTGGTCAACACTCAAGACGTTTGGTGTTTGAGTGCCAAAATTTTAAATCATTTTACATATCAGAAAAATAATATGAGGTCAAATTTTAATTTCTTTATATTTCTTTTTTTCTCTTTGTTTCTATGCAAAAAGTGTATGAACTCTGTATTAGAGAAATACCTACCTCTATATTTAAGTAGTTATATATCTACATAAATAAACTAATGAGCAAGAGCATAATATATTTACCATTTGGTCAACACTCAAGACGTTTGGTGTTTGAGTGCCAAAATTTTAAATCATTTTACATATCAGAAAAATAATATGAGGTCAAATTTTAACCTCACAAACTACCACCGGAAACTTATAATCTTCACCTAAAACAACTGTGCTGAAATATCATTGTCTGTCTTATGCATCAAGTACAAAAGTAAACAAAAAGGAAGCATACTAATTTATGCTATCAATATAAGGTAAACTTGAGGAACCTCACCTAGACAAGATGGATAAAGAAGAGAAAGATGCTTAAACATACCTGTCCAACCAATTGTCCTCCAAAAACTTTACCAAATTTGGGTGCATCTGGCAAAGTTATCCCTTGGAATATATTTAACTTCAATAAGACGGAAGAAAAATGTCTTATTATGGAGGTTATAAGAAGAATCTAGTTAGATCAATTGTTTCCCAATTCTATAACATGTTTCTAAAAAGAAATAATATTGTCACAATTAAAAGTATACCAAGAAAACATGAACTCTAAAATTCTCACTCTTCCTAATGACAATAGAATAAATAGAATAAAATGAAAAATAGAAGACACATACTTCTATTGGCTCCAAATGCAATATACTTTCCACAAGTGCACAGGTCTCATTCGTCTTATCTGTGCTCCAGATAGATTTTGACTGAAGCAAAGTGCAATGCTCATGAGGTAGAAACAGGCAGGTCAGCTGTAGTGACAGGCACTCCGTATTATTTTATGTCTGATTACATTTTATAAGCGGTTGGGATGCTCTAATCAAGAAAAGTATGCAAAAGGGAACTAAAAAAATGCATCTACCTTAGTTAAAGCAACTATATCTGCCACGTGCTCCGATGTGGGATTAACTGCAAAAGAAAGCACAATCATATTCAATTTAGGATTAAGTTCTCCATCATTAGTTGATTTTAAGCCCCTATTCATATAAGAGTGTCACAGACATGGATGCACACACAAAAATTCTACATACTAAAACAGGCCAATACTAAAAAATTGCAAAAATATCAGAAGAAGGAAAGATAGAGAAGCTTTAACCATGGCCAAAGTAATCATATCTTTTCAATATATACTCAAGTCGGTTTCCTTCTTCAGCATGGACTGATCCGGATACTTCAGCCTATAAACCAAGAAACTGAAACTCAGCAAAAAGGAATCTTTGGTTCAGATATTTTTTTGCTTCTAGAAGCAAATATTACTTATTTGAATATAAAATTATCAATTTTAGCTATGTCCTTATCGTGTATATATAAGGGAATAATAATGTATGTAAATAAGAAGAAAAAAAACAGACCTCTCCTTCCCATACAAAATATATTCCGTCTCCAACTTCTCCTTCCCGAACGACAAAATCTCCTTTCTCTGCAACGCGAATCGTTTTAGGCAAATCCAATAAACAATCAATTTTAATATATTTTATTGTAGATTGATTTAACCTGATGAAAGATTCTGTTTGGAAGCATACAAAACAAATCATAGAAAGACATACGCAGTCACGCGGATCAAATGAAAAAAAAATCAAATTGCGAATATTTCAATAAACTGAATTTGGATCAGAACTTCATAAAATACCGTAGTGCTTAAAACTAACGAGTTCAGCTATTCTCTTGAACGAAGAACTCGGCAATCTCTGCAGCAACGGAACGTTGCCTAAAAACTCGATCACTGCAACAATTCAAAGAAAAACAAAAGGTTGTACACAGTTTGGAGAAGCTTAGCATATAATTTAGAGATGAAACACCGGAAATCAACTGGCGGAGCCAAAAACAGAAATATTCACCTGCTTCGTTGTTCATTAAGGTAAGGGCGTAGCCGCGTATGGCCGAAAACAGAAACAGAAGAAGAAATGACTGGAGTGCAAAATGGGGATCAAGTGGCTGTGGGTGACCCTTCTGTTTTATGTGGAGGAAAAAAAATATAAAATTGACGTGACCTTTAATAAAAATGATAAAATCATATATTTAGTCCTTAGTCTCATTACTTATATACTATATTAATTTAATTTAATTTAATTTTTATTTTATTTTATTTTAATTTAATAAATTTAATTATTCAACCATATTTTTTCTGGAATAATTATTCAATCAGATTGATTAAATTTTTTTATTTTAACTTTTTTAATTCAATAAAAATATTCCTTTAATTAAAGATGCAATCAGATAAAAATATACGACTTAAAACATACTTTTATCGCTAAATTAATTTTCATAATTAGTATATAGATTATAACATATTCTATATATCTAATGTAAAAAATAGTTAATAAAAAATAATGTAAAAAGATAAAATATTATTTTTTTAAAAATAAAATATTACTTTTAAGTTAATTGTGGAGTATGTGAATACTAAACTACTCAAATAAATCTTATTATTGATTTACACAAAATTTAAAATAAAAATGAATTAATATAAAATATTATTTTTAAAAAAAATTATATTATTTTATAATAAATATATCATCTTAAATATTTTTATGTTTCACATATCATTTAAAAGCGTGACAATTTTATATTTAGTACCTCGAAAATTTATTTGATCTCCTTAAATTTTTGGTTTAAACATCACTAATTAATATTAGCTTAATTTTATCTATGTACCTTTTCAATCAATCAAATTGGAGTTTTGCTATCTGAAACATCAGCATCCTCAAAATTCACTTCTTCTTCTCTGCAGCTCCAGTTGACCTGTGAATGTAGTAAATACACAAAAATTGGTCATCTTAAAACACTAGAAAAATAAATGATTTATAATAACTCAGTAATCATTAAACTAAATTACCGAGTAAAACACCTCATCTTGCGGAGGACACTGGACATCTCTTCACGCTTCTTCTTGGCCCTCTTGTAAGTGCCTAGCTTTCTCTTCGCCACCTTCAATGCTCGCTTGTCTTCCCATGGTTTTCAGAACCGGATCGGTTAATAAATCGGTCATGCTATCGGTTCATTGATTCAACCGGTCGAACCGATCCGACCGATCAGAAGAATCATACGACGTCATAATTATTTAAAAAATTAAATAAAAATATTAAAAATATTTAATAAAAAATAATTTTTTATATCACAAGTCATATTCAAAACAAATCATAACATATATAAGTTAAAAACCATAAAATCAAGTGAAACAAAATGATTCAAAATAACTACAACATAATATTTAAGGTAAAACATATTAAATAATAAATATAATTATATAACTATAATTAAAAAATAAATTTGGGACTAAAAAATCATAACAAAATAATATTGTTTGGTTTAATTTTTTTTAAAAAACAATCTCACATGACTAAGAAACATAGAAGAGCATCCCAAAAGTCTAAAGAGTAAAAATATGAGAACAAAACAATCCCACATGGCTAAGAAACATAGAAGAGCATCACAACTAACTTCTATAAATAATAGAGGTAATTTGGCATTCAAAATCATAGAACATTTTGGTGAGCATTGAGTAAACTATTCTTTCACTTAAATCAAGCTCGAATTTTAGGCTTCAATTGAGCTTTTAATTTTTTTTTTGAATTCAAGCCTTTTTGAGTTCAAGTTTCAATATTATATTTCGAGTTTGAGTTGAACTTGATAATTTTTAGCTTGTGAATTTAAGTCGAGTTGAGCTTACTTTTAAAGTTTTTAAGTTCAAGTCGAGCTCAGCAATACTCGAGTTCGACTTGGCTCGTTTAACAAACGATGTCGTTTGGTTTAATTTAAAAAAAAAACAAAATTGGCGGTTTTTTCGGTTTTCAGCCGGTCCCGTTCGAACGATTCAACGGTTCTGACCGGTTCACTAGTAGCGGTTCAACCGGTGTAAATTAAATCGGACTGGACAATGGTTCCCGGTTGAACCGGCCGGTCCGGTCCGGTTTTCAAAACACTGGTCTTTCCGACCTTGAGAAGTTAGGTTATCCTCTTCTCATACAGTGCGAAACCGGCAACCTCCCTTATTAGGCTCCTCACAGAGTGCACTCTCTTGCTGGTTTTCTACAACAGACAAAACATAATATATCAACAATCCAGAAGAACGCATGAAACATGTGGATACCTACTGGAGTACGCCAATCTTGAGAAAAAAGGAAGCCACTCTAAAAGTAACTTGCCAAAAAACTTCATTATAAGCTACCATTATAGCCTCATGCATGATAATTTGAAAAATAGAATCTTACCCCCTTTCTATTAGTCGGATGGGGAGCCAATTCCATCTTGGTGACAACATGACCTCTGTTTAAGCCAACGAAGAGGCCAGTATTAGGTTGACTTGGAGCCATCACCTGAAAGAGCCACCCAGCATGAAAAATTCAGATTTCAAAACCAGTCCAAGAAAGGCAAGCGAATCATGTGTGTAAACAGCATTTTGATGCCGAAGACGAATAGAATGTAATTTATGTAACAGAGAATTGACTAGTGAATGATTCCAACAATTGGGGTCTATACTTTCATGCCATGCTATCATGGAACAGGGAATTGTCTCAAACTGTAAAATCACCCCACTCCTTAGACCATAAAAAGGACCAAAGAATGTGATTTGTGTATACACATGATACTAAATCACTTAAATATTTAAGAAATTTGCAGAACTTGAGTATTAATCTAAAACTATCGGAGGTTTTTGTGAAATGTCAAAATGATTGGGATTTTACAGCATTTCTTTTCAGATAGAAAATACTAAAAACAAAATTCAAGTTATGATGTATTGAGGTTTAACCATCCAGCAAGCACATTTTTATCTGAAACAGACTATGAATCAAATATGGCAAGTTCAACCAAGTACATCGACATCTCTAAAAGATTAATGTAGACATTAATGACACAAAAGCATGATGTTAGAAAGGATCGAATGGGATGGTTAAAATTCATCCAAATGAATTTAGCACAATCATTTCCAGGAAACCAAATCCTTAGACATTCAAAAATCCGGAGGAAACAACGCCATAACTTTATACTATATCACGCTAAATAAAATAAAAAAATTTCCAACAAAAAAATAATTAACTACAATGAAAGGGGAGAAAGGAGCAGTTTCAACTTTCAACGTGTTTTCTCACCTGCCGAACAGCACCGAATGAGAATCTCCAACAAAACACCGAAGCTGCAATAAAGAGAATAACAGAAGTAAGCTTCCGAGGGGGGGGGGGGGAAGATTTTGACGATGGCTTAAAATGGCGGTCTCACCTCTCCGCTGCACAAAGGCGACAAAGGACTAAGGTTTCCGCGGTTTATACTCATTTATCGTTCATGTAACGATCTTCTTAAATATTTCGATAATAATATATTAATCGAATAAAATTAATATTTAATTTTTTAAATATCACATTTTTAAATTAAACACATTTATATCATATTTAACATCAAAATTATAATATTTTGATTGAATAATAAAATTCAATAGATTATGCATCAACTAAACTATCAAGCGATTAAAAGGATAATTATTTTCTCCCTAAGTTGAACACAACGCCTGCAAACAGAGGTATTGAATATTATATGATAATATTTATTTAAAAAATTTAGTTAATTGACAATATGCATATACCATTGCACGCATAGCTATTTGAACCCCAATCATCTTATATAAATTTTAATCTAAATAGTTAATTAACTTAAATTCGATTATATATGATGCCATGAGACGATTATTGTTTAACGCATAACATCACGCCAATCAATCGCAATTTTTAAATATATAATCTTTTTAAAAAATATTAGTGATAACTTTTACCTTTTTTATGTGGGAGCGAAAATTGTCGGAAGAATGGATGCCCCTATGAAACAAATCTTGAAAACTAAGATAATCCAATACAAATAATTGTCCCCACATAATTGAGCTCAGCACCAATTACAGTACCAATCCATTCAACATAAACATCTTCTATTTTACAGAACATGGAAATCTTTTAGCACATTTTTAACATCTACAAAAGGGAATAGATGAAGTTTTCTGATATGATCTCAGCAGATAAAATATGCTTGCTTGGGGTGGTGGGGACTGCAGATTTTGGTACATTCCTGCTAACTTGAGGGAATCAATTCGTGTTCTTAAGCATATATTTTTACATAGGTAGCCTAAATCATATCATTTATGAAAAAAGAACATCCACGGAGTTTATATGTATCTTTCTTTCCCCCAACCAGCAGCAACCTGTCCATCATTTCCATTCGGGTGTAAGCAGGTTTTTCAGTGCAATGGGAGATCTGATATTGCTTCCCCTGTAAATGATGAGGGTATAACTCGTAAGTTTCAATTCATTGATAAAAGATACGCAGTTTATTCAGTTTTAGAAGCAGTGCATGCTCCAAATACGGATACTAAGCCTCGGTTTATGGGGCTAAATCTACTACTTCGGATGATCATCTCTTTATCAAAATGAAAGCATAAATGAGAGAAGTGAAGGTAATATGGTAGTACCATGCATCCCTTTGACGAATCTTTCAAACTCCAGAAAGTTGTGTCTATCTATCAGAATTCGGCTGAGCCTGAGGTAGGTAAAAGCACATAAATGGCGGCCATCTGGGTCGTTTCGGGGCTTGGCATTTTCTAGTATCTTATTATAGCCTTCTCTATCATAACATGGAAGAGCATTCTCACTAGCAACCGGTATGGAAACATCCCATGCAGCATTCAGCACCTGGAAATTAGAAAGATGATGGCAAAATTAGATGTGGTTCGCCAGGAAAACAAAGTCATAGTCTCATCCAACATCCACATTCCAAATTTATGATAGCCAATTGAACTGGCCATGCGCAAAGATTCTTACACTAGACTGAAATTAGGAGTCTGGTCAGGAACCAAAACCACTATTAATCATGTTCTCTTTCCCCATTATTAACATCAAAGAAAACAGTTAAATCCATTTGTATCCTAGAACACAAACTAACACAGCAATAATCCATTTCTTAATTTTTTACTTTAGTAAAACCAGATTCACAGAATTTTTATTTTTATCTTTTTTAAAAGAAGAGCTATTACCTGCCAAACTAATCCCTCTGGGTCTGCCATTGCCTCTGGGAAGTCCTCATGCTGAATTAAGGTGCGCAATTCAACACATGTGAAGTTTAATGCAACCTCATGTTTCTTCAACATTGCTGCAATTGGAGCATAGCCATCACGATGTGCAGAATTGTAAAACCCAGTAGTCAGCTCTGCAGCATGGCTAGCTGTTTTATACCACCAATGAATACCTGATAGCTGGGAATGAAATCAAATCAGAGACACAATTATTTACAACAAAAAGCAGCAAAGAGTTTTCTTCTAGTTTTATTTAGAAACAAATAATTTATATCAGTACAAAGAGGAGAATAGACTGCAGCACTGACCTTTGCAGCAATACAACTGCCTTCAAAAGCCAAGTTGGCCAGAGCAAGCACACGATCACCATGATCAATCAAAAATTGAGAGTACCAATTAAGAAAGAATCTTCCATAGTAGCTGTCATAATCACCTCCATCACGAAAGAAGCCAGTCTCATGAGGTACGGAATTATAAGAACCAGCATTATTTGGTGCTCTACCCCAGAAAGAATGGCCTCTTTTCTCTGCAGCTTTGCTTAGACTCTTCATCATATATTTATCATAACACTGAACTAGAAAAGGGTTCCATTAGGAATTGGAAGGTAAGAATTGAAAACATATCAATTAATGTTGAATCATCAAAACTGATGGGTAATTAACAAAGGTCCAGTCAAATAACAAGATATTTGAATATATGGTCATTTAAAATGTACCTGAAATGCACCTATACCGGGATATTTCCAACCAAACTTTACAGGATAAGAAGGATAGCGTAGCTCCCCACAAGGACCAAGTCCTACTTCAATTTCAGATATCACTCCATCCACAAAGAAATCATCAAATTCTACACGAAAGTTCCTCATGAAGTCAAAGTAAACCTGCACTTATATATCAAGCCAATATCCTCTTAAAAGTTAGCCATGTACCCAAAGAAATAAATTTTTTTGGCAGATGATTCAGGGAAAAAAAGCAATAAAAATAAATAAATAAGAGACTTAAGTTCTCAAATCTTATGCTATCCTAAATTTGAAAGCTTACTTTTAATTGCTAAACGATAAAAAGATTGGAAGATAATTTGGAAATTTATCAAACACAACTTATAAACATGGGTTAGGATCCATTTACACCTAGTGTAAAACTAAAAGTTTTACACCCTTTTATGATCATTGGATGAGGAGGAATCAAAGGTTAAGATTAACTCGGTTTTTTTAAGTATCTTCTCATTTCTTACTGTTAATCTCAGCCTTTGATTTCCCCACTCCATCGATCCTAAAAAGGTGTAAAACTTTTTTAGTTTTACACTATGTAATTGAATCCTAACCCTATATGTATATATATATATATATATCAAAGACACCTCAACCAAAAAAATAAAAAAGAGAGAGAAAAAAGTTAAAGAAAGGAAAAAAATCTTAATAAATCAACTTATTAATGTCCAGAATCTCAACCACGCAGGAAGAGAGCATAACCAAACTGTCAAAAGTTATCAGTAATATATAGAAGCATATATATCCAGTGTAGTTTAATAACCATAATTAACTGTATCGCTATTACCTCAACAGCAGTTCGGCCCCTTAACACCCGCTCCTTATCAATTCCCCATGTAAGGCATTCAGTATTGCGCCTTCCTTCTTTATCTGTGAAATATATGTCAGGGTTGCTATCCCCAATTTCTCTTACCCATTGAGGGAGTGGAATATTTACGTCATCGCCAACATTCCCTCCACATTTGTGAAATGACATTACAACCTGTGCCCGTTTCATATCAAGAACCGGGAAAATGATTTTCAAAAGACCAAGCGGCAACTAAACTCAGTTGAATGATAATGGTGTCCATGTAAATATTTCACATAAATGATATAAGATCCTATATGAAACTAAACTAAGACATTGACAAATAAACAATGAGAAGAAAACCATCTCATCTCAGTTTCAGCTTACATAGACTACAAAAGGTAATAATTCAGATCATGTTTAAAGATCAAGTCAGGTCACCACAAGCTCATAATTTAAAGATAAAATGTGGAATAACTAGTAACTAGTATTTTTCTATCCTACATCGTACCCAAAAAAAGTAAAGGGAATACAAGAGACATATGCCATAGAATGTATAGTTGTTAAAACAAACATAACAAAACATGAATTAAGGCACTATTACTCACCTGCAACTTAAGCCCAACATCACGCACAATTTCGAAAAGCCTCCTGTAGCCAGTCCAATTATACGTTTGAGGGGCATGCGCCTCAATTATACCCCACCAGCAATCAACCATTACACCATCCACATTAACTGACTTCAAAATCCTTAACTGATTCTTTAAACCCTCTGGGTCAACCAACTCACAATTCATATCAATAACACTCAGCTTCCAACCCCAACATTATATAACACAAACGATATAAACAATTTAATCTTCGCCAAGAAACATTTACCAAAAGAAATATCATTGGATCGAGTTTAAAGTGCTTACCGGCAGCATAACATATACAGGAACATAAGGTGTGCCAGCAAAATCACGCTGCAATGATCTCGGCCATGAGTCTGCATCCTACAAAAAAAATAGAGACATTTAGCTTTAGATTCTCAGTCGATTCTATTTCTAGTGAAAATAAATACAAATAATGGATTGGAGACATCGTGTTTTTTTACCTGATTGTTATCTGTAAAATCATCGGCGAGTGGATGATCCTCTGTTCTTTTCCATTTATCTCTATCTAGGGCTCGAACCCCAGACGATATGGAAAGAGAATAACTTAAACCTCCCTTGACACGGAACGATTCGTAACTCAATGAGTTTAGAGACCTAGAATGCAATGTTGAGTAAGCGGTAGGCGGCGCACGTGGCGGGCATAAACTATTGAACAACTGAACTGGTGAAACATCCATTTTTATTTTTTTTGGGTAATTGCCTGAATTAGATTGTACTTGAACACTTCGCAGAGATCAACTTCCAAACAAAATAAAATTAAAACATCTTCAGTTTTATGAAGAATTTCCTTGATTTATAAGAATCGGATCCTTTTTTTTGTCTTTTTTCTTTTGCATCGGAAAATTTATCGGGCAACGCAACGGAAAAGAGGGAGCGATGAGTGGTTTTTTGTGGCGGGGAAAATGAGGGAAAGAAACACTTACTTAACGATGACGTTCTATCATTTATGGATCCAAGAGCGTACTATTTTCCGGTTCCCTGTTGTCATTGAAGTAAGTTAGAAAAATAAATGTCGTAACCGTCTTTCAGTTATATCTCGAATTTAGGCTTCGATTTAGATTAAATGAATTAGAGTTGTCACCGATCATTTATTTTAAAACAAATGGGTTAACTGAATACCCTATTTCTTACCTGATCTGCGTCTTTCTAAAGATGTGTCGGATTCGGGAGTCAGTTACAGTCAAGGAAAAGTTAGCATCCTTAAACTGTCCTTTCGATACTACGCAATTTTCAGTTGTCTTAAATTAAGAAAATTGTAATTTAAAATTAAAAGGTAAAAATATGATCTCAATTACTTACCTTAATTAGTTTTAAAGATGTGCCCTTAAGAAGGTCAAAAAACTATGTTAGATAAAAATGTAAGAAATAAATAAATAAATTAATTAAAATGAAGAAAAAATAAATTAAATAAAAGATCAGATAAAGAAAACAAAGATAAAATAGTAAGTAAAATAAATAAAAATATATTAAAAAATATAAAAAAATAAATAGAAAGAAGAAAAATATATATAAATAAAATAAATAAATAAAATAATAATAAAAAAGTAAAAATAATATATATATAATAAATAAAAACATAAAAAATAGTATGTATATATATATATATATATTAATAAAACAGATAATAAAAAATAATATATATATATATATGTAATCTAAAAAAATAAAAAAAATATATATACTAAAAAAATGCATAAGATTAAAAAAAATATTACAAGAAGAAAAGAAAAATAACAAAGCAATTAAATAAAATGAGTAATAAGGGAAATGTGCATATAAATAAAGTTTAATAAATAAAATAATAATAATTAAAACGTAAATTTAAGGGATTAAATCAAAAGGAAGAAATAAACCGATGGGCAAATTTCGAAGCAAAAAAATTGATTTAGGGGGAGAATTAAATATTTAAAAACAGGAACACGCCTCGGGGGTAGATCTAGGTTCGAAACTTCGAAATCCCACTCCTTTTTGGTCATCGGCGCAACCTATGTTTTGGGTTATTCGAACCAAATCTCAAGAAAAAAAATATGCACATGCGAGAAATGAACGAATCAAGGTAAAAAAGATGCTACATTTTATTTCTTTTTCGAATTGTTTACAATAGCTTTGTCTTTGTATTTTTTCGTGCTTTCCTCTGTAATTTTGTATGTAAATCATGTGTTACAACAGTGAGTTACAATGACTATTTATAATGCTTCTGGATCCTATTTTTAGGAGTTTGAATCATAGTAGAACTCTATCCTATTTTTAGGAGTTTGAATCCTAGTAAAACTCAATCCTATTTTTAGGAGTTTGAATCCTAGTAAAACTCTAACGCTATGTTTGTTTTTTGAATCCTACTAAATTAGGGTTGTTGAGAGTGTTGAACCGGGACGAAAATGTTTGTTGACAGCTGCCCCTCTTTGCCCATAGTCGTGTAATGGGGATAGGGCAAAGATTAAAAGACATACTTTTCGTTTGGTGGAGTTGAAAATTGACTCTGATGTTTCAATAACTCCCTGTCGAATTGAGTTGCAAATGACTCCTCCGTCATGAAGTCGAGTTCATGATATGGAATTGAAGTCGTAGTTCGGAATTTGAATCGGCACGTGGCTTCTCGTTACCCTTCGGTCTTCTTCTTGGATCGGAATCGAACTCAGAAATCTTCATTGACAGATAGTTTTTCTTGGCTTAAGCTATGTTGTTTGAAAATGGTTGCTTGTCACTAAGGCACAGCTAACCCAGATCTTCTTCTCGACTTGAAAACTTCTACTGCAGCCGGAAAGTAGTGTGATTAATTTGTCATCAAGCTGAATGGAATCGAACTCGACAATTTTGTTGGCAGATAGCCCTTCTTGCCTTGAGCTATGCTGTAAATTTGATTTGCCTCTGAGTTGAATGTAATCAAACTCGAAGGTCTTTGATGACTGATAACCCTTATTGCCTTGAGTTATGCTGCAAATGATATGCCTTGAAACTGAGCGTAGTCGAACTCGAAGGTCTTTGTTGACAGATAACCCTTATAGCATTGAGTTATGCTGCAAATGATGTGCCCTCGAAGCTGAGTGTAATCGAACTCGAAGGCTTTGTGTTTCAAGAGAAACATTTTCAAAGTTTTTTTTCAAGAGAAACAATTTCGAGGGTTTTTTTTAGTTTCAAGAGAAACTGTCTCAAGAAAGACAAAATTTGTTTCAAAAGAAACTGTCTCAAGAGAGACAAAACTTAGTTCTAAAAGAAACTGTCTCAAGGGAGACGAAATTTGTTTCAATGAAAAGATATTCAAAGATTTTGTTTCAAAGGAAACTGTCCCAAGAGAGACAAAATTTGTTTCAAGGGAAACTGTCTCAAGAAAGACAAGATTTTGTTTCAAAGGAAACTGTCTCAAGAGAAACTGTCTCAAGAGAGACAAAACTTGGAAACTGTCTCAAGAGAGACAATGGTGAGCACGATTCCCTTTGTCGTGAAGTTGAAACCGTGGATGGCCACTTCGTTGTGAAGTTGAGCCTTGGAATTGGATATCCTTCGTCGTGAAGTTGAAATCTAGTATGCTATTTCGAGGCCAATATCATTCGCTGTGAAGTTGAAATTAACTTCGAAACTAGAAAGTTTGTTGACAGACACTCCTTCTCTGAGTTGGATATCCTCCGCCGTGAAGTTGAAATCCAATATGGAGATGGATGCTTCTTGTGTGTACGATTCCCTTCATTGTGAAGTTTAAACCGTTTGTGGCCCCTTCGCCGTGAAGTTGAGCCAAGAATTGGATATCCTTCGTCGTGAAGTTGAAATCCAAGTAAGTTGTATTGTTCCGAGTCCAATATCCTCCGCTGTGAAGTTGAAATTGGCTCTGGAACTGGGAAATTGTTTGTTGACAACCAGTCGTCCCTTCGCTGTGAAGTTGAACTTGTGTTGTCTCGAGTCCAATATCCTTCACTGTGAAGTTGAAATTGGCTCTGAAACTGGGAAGCCCCTTCTTTGTGAAGTTGAGCCTCAAAATGGCACGATATCCTCTGTCGTGGAGTTAAAATCGTGGATGTGTGGGTACGATATCCTCCGTCGTGGAGTTGAAATCGCGGATGGCCCCTTCGTCGTGAAGTTGAGCCTTGACTTGGATATCCTTCGTTGTGAAGTTGAAATCAAAGTATTGTATGTTGCGGGTGGACACGATTTGCTTCACCGTGAAGTTGAAACCTGTTGAGTTAATCGATCGAAGGAATCGACCAAGAGGGGGTGAATTGGCAATTACAATTTTGGTAGAAGCTTTTGCAGAAAATTGAAAGGATTTGCACAGCGATTTAGAGTGGTTTGACTTTCTCAATCAAAGTCTACATCCACTACCTTAGCTATCCACACTAAGGATTTTCTAAAAAATTCACTAATTTGTTCTTTCTTTTGAGGCCAAAGAGATAGCCTTACAACTCCCTCAAGAATATACCCCAATTCTTGAGAATACTCTTTCTTAAAGAGAAGATTACAAATTTGCAAACTTACAAGGAAATCCTCACAAGATAGATTGTTTGCACAATTCTAGAACAAAGAAAAGAACACTAAAAAATGAATACAATTGAGTACAAGTAGTGTTCTTGAAAGCAAAATGAATATTGAATGAAAAATAGGCTTGAAATGCTCAAACTTGAGGTTTAATGCTTTCTCTGTGATTCTCTCTTGATTCTTGTTGATTGTTATTGATCAAAGGCTTCTAAGCTTGTTTAAATACTCCTTAAATCACTTCTGAACGTTGGGGATCATTAATGAAGTTATTGGAGCTGTTTAAGTGTAAAAACAATTAAAATATTTCTGCTTAGAGCGTGGGGGGAATCGATACCTCCTCATAGGGAATCGATTCCCTAAGTGTAAAATTCAAATATTTTGACCGTTGAACAGGGGGGAATCGATACCCCTTAGGGGAATCGGTTTCCTCCGAGCATTCTGTTTTTCACAGAGCCAAACCATTTAGGGGGAATCGGTTCCCTCTGAGTAATCTGGAATTTTTAGCTTTGAAATGGTTCGAAATATTTTGTAAAATTGTTTTGAAATTATTTTAAGTTTAAAACTTAATTTTACACTTGAGTAAGGATTAAAAATGACATTTGAAAGATTTGGAGTAATATTTTGATTTTCGAATAATTATATCGAATATACTTAGAAAATCTTTTGGAAAATCTTAAAATTCATTTATCTTAATTTGTTATATCAAAATGTTTTCAACAAAACCGTGGATGACCCCTTTATTGTGAAGTTTGGCTTTGAGCTAGATGTCCTTCGTCGTGAAGTTGAAATCTACTCTCGAGCAAATTGTGTCGCTTTGAGTCCAATATCCTTCGCTGTGAAGTTGAAATTGACTCTGAATGAAATTGAAAAGTTATTTGTTGACAGACAGTTGCCCCTTCGCTGTGAAGTTGAACAACCACCATCAATTTCTAAATGTGCTTTGAATCGAGTATCTTTCGTTTTGAAGTTGAAACATGACTCTAAAGCTGCAAAGATTATGTATGTGAAAAAAATGATACTCTAAAATGCATGCATAATGAATTAGTTCTTGTTTTATTCATCGGACATAATCTCATTTTTTGTCTGTTGGTTCCTGCACGTGGAGGAAAGACTTTCGGAAGATCTAATAATTCACATCAAAATATTGAATTCCCAAAGATGCCCCAATATTCGATGTTGAATCTCAAAATATGCCCCAACATTTTATGTTAAATCTTAAAAAATGCCCCAACATCTGATGTTGAATCTTCAAAGATGCCCTCATTGTTCCTCATTTCTTGCTTCAATATTGATTCTAAGCATGAGCTTTGTGTTTGAGAGCCACATGTCATTTACCAAGATCCACTCTAGAGAGATTGTCTTGTTTTGAAAAAAAATGTTTTTCTTTTTCTTTTATTTTCAAAGTTCTGAAAATATCAAAAAAGAGTTTCGAAAAATGTTTAATCA